AAGGATATGTGTTAATTTTTCTTTGAATGTTTGGTAAAATTCGCCTGTGAAGCCATCTAGTCCAGGACTCTTGTTTGCTGGGAGTTTTTTTTATTACTTCTTTAATTTCACTAGTTGTAATCGATTTATTCAGGTTTTTTGATTCTCCCTGATTCAATTTTGGAAGTTTGTATATTTCTAGAAATGTATCCATTTTGCCCAGGTTTTCCAATTTGTTGGCAGATGCTATTTTCTTGGAATCTCTGGCATTTCTGTGGAGTCAGTTGTTATTTCTCTTTCATTTCTAATTTTATTTATTTTTATCTTCTCTCTTTTTTTCTTGATGAGTCTGGTTAAAGATTAGTCAATCTTGTTTATCTTTTTAAAGAACCATCCTTTGGTTTCATTTTTTTTTTTTTTAGTCTATGTCATTTATTTCTGCTCTGATACTTATTTATTTTTTAAATACAAATTTTGGGGAGATAATTATTTTTTAAAATTTATTTTTATTGTATTTTTTCCATTGCCATTTACCGCCCCCATACCCTCTTCTACCTTTTCCCAGCCCCACAACCAACACACTGTTTTACATGCCCACGAGTTCTTTCTCTTCTTTGCTCAATCCCTCTACCCCCCAATCCTGACCTTTATTACTTCCTTCCTTCTACTTACTCTGGGCTTTGCATGTTTTTGTTTTTCTGGTTCTTTTAGGTATAGGGTTAGATTGTTTACTTAAGATTTCTCTTGCTTCTTGAGGTATGACTGTAATGCTATGAACTTCTGTCTCAGGACTGCTTTCACTGTGTCCCATAAATTTTGGGTTGTTGTGTGTTCATTTTCATTTGTTTCTAGGTAATTCTTGATTTCTTCCTTGATCTCATTCAGTGTTTAATAACATCTGTTTAGCCTCCATGTGTTTGAATGTTTTTCAGTTGAAAAAAATTTTTATTTTATTTCTGATTTTTAGAGAGAGGGGAAGGGAGAAAAATAGTGATGCATGAGAGACATCTATTGTTGCCTTCCATATAATCCCCTACTGTGCATTGAACCAGTGACCTCTCAATTCACAGGATGATGCCCAGCCAACTGAGCCACACTGGCTGGGGTAGTTTTTTAGTTTTTTTTATTGTAGTTGATTTTTAGTTTTATACCATTGTGATCTGAGAAGATGCGTAGTATGATTTCAGTCTTCTCGAATTTGTTAGGACTTACTTTGTCCTAGCATGTGGTCCTACACTAAGAAACTACAAGGTCTGATAAATAAATTCAGTAAAGTAGCAAGGTACAAAAGTAATATTCAGAAATCAGTGACATTTTTGTATACCAATAATGAACTATCAGAAAGAGAAATTAAGAGAACAGTCCCATTTCTATTGCAACAACAACAAAAAGGTATGTAGGAATAAATTTAACCAAGGAGGTGAAAGATCTGTACTCAGATAACTATATGACATTGAAGAAAGAAATTGAGCAAGATAGAAATAAGTGGAAATATATACCATGTTCATGGATTGGAAGAATTAGGATCATTAAAAATGTTCATACTACCCAAAGGAATCTATAGATTCCTTAACACAATTTCTATTAAAATACCAATGGCATATTTCACAGGCATAGAAGAGATATTCAAAAAATTTATATGGAACCAAAAATAACCCTTAATAGCCTCAGCAATCTTGAGAAGGAAGCACAAAGTTGATGGTATCTCATACCTGATATCAAACTGTACTACAAGGCCATTGTGATCAAAATAGCCTGGTACCGGCATAAGAACAGGCATATAGATCAATGGAACAGAGTAGAGAGCCCAGAAATAAACCCATGCCTTTATGGTCAATGAATATTTGACAGAGAGCAAGACCATACAATGGATTAAAGACAGTTTCTTTAATAAATACAAATTTGGAGGAGATAATTCTTTTAAAAATTTGTATTTAAGCCCTGGCTGGTGTAGCTCAGTGGATTGAGCGCGAGCCTGCTAACCAGACAATCGCGGTTCGATTCCCAGTCAGGGCACATACCGGGGTTGCAGACTGGTTATCTGCAGGCCAGTTCCCAGCAGGGGACGCACAAAAGGCAACCATACATTGATGTTTCTCTCCCTCTCTCCTTCCCTTCCCCTCTAAAGATAAATAAATAAAGTCTTAAAAAAATTTTGTATTTATTTTTATTGCACTTATTCTATTACCATTTATCCTTCCATACCCTCTTCTACCTCTCTTCCCAAACCCCCTATTACCATTTATGTTGTTGGGATGTGAATACTGTTGAATATTTTTGTGATATAAAACAGCACTGTCCAATAGAATTTTTATGACAATAGAAAAGTTCTATATCTATGCTGTCCAAAATGGTAATGGGAAAATTGGACAGATACATGCAAAAAATGAAACCAGACCACCAACTTAAACTATATACAAGGAAAAACTCAAAATGGATTGAAGACTTAAATGTAGACTCAAAATCATAAAAATTCTAGAAGAAAATACAGGCAGTAAAATCTCAGACATCTCTCATAGCAAAATTTATGCTGATCTATCTCTTAGAGCAAGGGAAGCAAAGAAAAAACCAAACCAATGGGACTACATCAAACTAAAAAGCTTTTGCACAGCAAAAGAAGCCACCAACAAAATGAAAAGGGAACCCACAGTATGCGAGAACATATTTGCCGATGTTACATCTGATAAGGGGATAATTTCCAAAATATATAAATAACCTATACAACTCAATACCAGGAAGACAAACAGTCCAATGAGTAAATGGACAGAGGCCCTGCCCAGGTAGCTCAGTTGGTTAGAGCAGCATACTCCCTGGTCAGGGCACGTAAATGAGTCAGCCAGTGAATGCATGGGTAAGTGGGACAATCAATCAGTGGTTCTCTCTCTGTCTGTCATATCAGTAAAAAAAAAAGAAATGGGTAAAGGACCTGAATAGACACTTCTCCAAAGAGGACATACAGGTGGTCAGTAAGCATATGAGAAAATGCTCAATGTTACTAATCATCAGAGAGATGCAAATTAAAACCACATGAAGTATCACATCGTATCTGTCAGAATAACTATCATCAATAAATCAATAAACAAGTGCTGTCAGGGATGTGGAGAAAAGGGAATCCTAGTGCACTGTTGGTGGGAATGCAGTGTGGTGCAGCTGTTGTGGAAAACAGTATGAAGTTTCCTAAAAAAATTAAAAATCTTCCTGGCTGGTGTAGATCAGTGGATTGAGTGTGGGCCTGTGAACCAAAGGATCACGGTTCGATTCCCAGTCATGGCAAATGCCTAGGTTGCAGGCCAGTTCCCAGCAGGGGGCACATGAGAGTCAACCATACATTGATATTTCTCTCCCTCTCTCCTTCCCTTCCCCTCTAAAGATAAATAAATAAATAAAATCTTTAAAAAATTAAAAATCAACTGCCTTTTGACCCAGGTATCCTTCTGGGAATAAATCCTAAGAATCCCAAAACACTAATTTGAAAGAATATATGCACCCCTTTGTTCATTAACTTTAAATACCTTTTTTAAGGCCTTATACCCAAATACAGTCACATTGGGAGTTAGAGCTTACAACATACAAGTTTTGGAAGGCTGTAATTTAGTATATAACACGTGCAGTGGTTTACTTTCTGTTCTTTCAGCATTGGACATTCTTTTGAAAGTTGTTTCCAATAAGATGATGAGCATGAACATATTTTTGCATAAAGGTTTTTTTCTTTTGCACTCCGGTTTATGACTAAATTCTCTAGAGTGGTATAAGTGGGTCAAAGGATGTATTATTAAGACTATCAATAGAGATTGCCAAACTTCCTCCTAAAAAGGCTCTATACCAGTTATGCTTTCTCTAATAATGTACAAGTGTCTATTTTGCTGTACCTTTGTCATCATTAAAATCTATATTAATTTGATATGCAAAGTTAGAGTCTTGTTTTAAGCGAATTTGAACATTGCAGGAAAATGGTAACTTATCATATTTTGCCTCTTGTGCAGGGGTGGGTGAATTCATTGTCCATTTTCTTTGTCCATCTTTCTCATTAGGGGTATTATTATGTTTTCTTGATCAATTTGTATAAATAAATAAAATATATATATATATAACATAGTAATCCTTTCATGTTATTTGCTGCAAGAGTAATTTCCCAAATTGTTTAGCTTTAATTTTAGTCATCACGATTTTTTTCATCAAATGAAATGTTCAGTTTTAGGAAGTAAATTTTATTAGTATTTTGTACCTTCATCTATGACTTTTTAAGCTGTCAAAACCCTCCCCCAATCCGACACGAAAAAACATTTTTTATTAGGTTTATAGTGTTTAAAAATGTCTTCCATCTCAGACTACTGACTGCTTATTCAGAAATACTGTCAAAAACATATGTTGTTGGGATATGAATACTGTTGAATGTTTCTGTGATCTAGAACAGCACTATCCAGTAGAGGTTTTTTTGATGATAGAAAAGTTCTGTATCTGTGCTGACCAGTATGGTAGCCCCTCGCCATATGAGGCTATTTGGCATGTGGTTAGTGCAACTGAAGAACTGAATTTTTTATTAAACTTTTAGTGTAAATTAAAAAGTCAATTACAAATTATTTAAAAATAAATTTATTTAAATTTTAATTGAAATTAAAAACAAATTTAAATAGATTTATGACTTAGGACCATTAATGTGATTTTGCCCTGTGTTGGTAACTGAATAGCGTAATCTAATTCTGGTCCATTCTTCTTCCAAAGAAAGATACTCAAGGGAATGGTGTCTGTAGTGCCTATTTGACTGTTGGTCTATGTGTGGTTATAGCCCCCTTTTCCTCCTGAGAAGGGGAATCAGCACAAGCAGTATGTGTATAGATATGTGTGTTGGAGGAGATATTTAGCCACTGGAAAGCTTCTGGCAGAAGTTCTTTCTTTTGCATGTGTATGGATTCATAATCAGCATCTTTAGTGGCCTTAGCAAAGCTGTCTCACTGAAGAAAGGGTAAGTTGCACCATATTTGTAGGCTTATTACCCCAGCTTTTTCTTCTCTCTGTTACAGACGCTGCATTCAGGTAGTACATAAGCTACTTTGCTACCAGAAGAAGTGTAGAGTGCGCCTGCATTACACCTGGCGGGAACTCTGGTCAGGTAACTTTCCCTGTTTAATTCATCCTCTTTTCCTATATCTTTTATGAGTGCTTGCTTCGGCTTGGGCATAACATGAATTAAAAAAAAAACTTTTTAGTTTGTTTAGGATGCTTCTGTTTTCATTTATATATTTTTTATCATTTTAGCCTTGTCTGCTCCAGACCTGGACATATCACATATCTTTTCCATACTTTCTCTCATATTTCCTCTCCACCCTCTATTTTTTTGTCAGCTGTTAGAAACAATTGAATATTTCTTGAGTTCCAATGTATCTTATGAGTAAGAGAGAGGAGTCAGTACAAACTTGGATTCTTCCTCGATTCCATTTGGTAGCAGCATATGGACTGTCGGGAGGCTTCTGTGTGTTTCTTCAAGATGAGTAATCCCAGGAGGAATGTCATAGGGAGAGGGGGTGTGGAGGGGGCGGAGAGATGGGGGAATCCTGTTCTTTGTGTTACATCTGGCATTATTACTGTTTACAGACAGTTTCAATTGTACCACTCCCCCTGTGCCAGAGACAAAAACAGCAAATTACAGTGTTTACTTTTGTCTTTGTATCCTTTTGGTAGCCCAGTAAAGTCACTGCTGTCCCTGCAGGCGGGAAGTGGCTCTTCTCTAAGGGTGCAATTAATGCTGGCTTGCCACCCCTTTCTTTGGTGCAATTTAATTGGAGCTTAGGGTAGAGTAGAGGAGAGACATGTTCCCTGAGGCATTCACTTGCTGATCGGTCCTGTGGCTTTCATGGCCTGATGGTACAATAAAGCCTTCTCCAGATAATTATAGTGATGAATGGTCGCCCCATGTGTGGGAGAGCGTCTCTGTGTTCTCAGAAGAGGGAGGTGTCAGAGGCCTTTAAAGAAAAGGGCCAGTAACCCCGCCCCCTTCCTTGGAATTTTTCTCACTTGTTGTGACATGTAGTTTCCTTCCAACCCAATTTGGCTTTCTAAATTTAGTCCTCCATAATGGGAAGTAGAGATCTTTAATTAATGGATTAGCAAGATCTTTGCAGTTGCTGCCTAGATGGTGAAGGGGGGATAGGAGAATAACACTAAGTGACAATAGTGGCATTTTCTTATTTTATAAATGAGATTGTGTGAGAGTTTCAGACAGAGGAAATGTCAGAAGAGCTAAAGAGAGATCAAGAGGTGGAAATGACTGAAGTTAGAATTTCTTTGGTAGGAACAAAATTTTTAAGGTTTTTAAAAATTTTATTCTTATTCAAGGGAGGGGGAGAGGGCGGAAGAGAGAGAAAAAAAACCATCAATTGGTTGCCTTCCGCATGCACTCTGACTGGGGATCGAACCAGCAACCTAGGCACGTGCCTTGACTGGGATCAAACCAGTAGCCTTCCAGTGATGGAACGACACTCCAACCAACTGAAAGCCACGCCAGCCAGAGTAGAACAATTCTTTTTAATATAAAGAATTGCTGTGGTTACCTGTGTATAGCTAGTTATGTGATTGTTAGGCTCTAAAAATTTAGGATTAGAGAGAAACACAAAAATGGTGCAAATCTGTGGATGCCGGTACAGTTGTAGGACTTACAAGTACAAATGGTTCATGTATGTAGCTGGAATGAAGTCACACATTGCAGTACTGAAGAGTTGGTGGTAATAGTTGTTTCTGCTTGCTTTTGATTCTTTTCTGGTTTTATTTTCTTTTATTCTGTTTTCTCTTTTCCATCCTAGTTCTCCCATCTCTGGCTTCTGGGATTTCTCTGGCATCTGGGATTTCTCTGGCTTTTCTCTCATTCTCATCATCTGTTCTTTTGCTGTATTCCATTGCCTTTCTGTATTACCTTCTGCCATTCACTCCAGCTGTCTCCCTGGGGCCCCGGGCTTCTCATTGCTCTCCTACCTCCGCCTGGTATCCTGTCCTTTGTGCTATTGTTGTCATACATTTTACTTTTGCATAGATTGTAAACCCCACAATGCATTACTGTCTTTTTGTTTAAAGAGGCAATTATCTTTTAAAGAAATTTAAAAATGCCTTTTATATTTCTTTTCTGACTCTTATCATTTGCCCATTCTGGCTAGGAAATTATGGGGCAGGAGACCATTCTGTGTTGGTCAGTTGACTTTATGTCTTTGAGTACTTTCTGTGATGTCAGCTGTGTTTTTATAGTAATTATGTGCTATCTCAGAACTGATTGATTGGCATTCTAAGGCCCTTGATAGGTTGATGGGAGGTATATATGAGTGTTATTAGTGAGACCCTGGATGACTCCTTGCTCCTAAGGCGTAGGCGTTTATGCTGGAGCTCTCTGCCGGGTGAGGTTAGCTCCTTTTCCTATATAGACTGGATGAGCCCTTTTGGAACCCTGGCTCCATGTGTTTGTACATGGTTGTATGCAGTGAGATACAGAGCAGGTGTTAAGGAAAGCTGCAAAACACTATACTCGTGTGACGTATCAGCCCATAATAATGTGTAATATTTCAGTCAGTGAAAGTAAATGTGGCTCTGGTGGATCCACCCACTTGTTGGCTGGTGCCACCCCTCATATGATGGTCTGCTCATGTTTTCACTCTTTTTTTGCCTTCTAGACTTAGGGATTTGAGGGAGGTGTGTGAAACTCATAATGGCAAATATGCTTACATGTGCAGATGCTTGCCCATACATGTACTACAAACTTTAATTGAATTTTATTTATAAACGAGACTGGCAAGACATATGTGTTGTTAGCTCGGACGAACAGAAGTCCTTAAATGTCTAGGAAGCAGTTGGCTAGGGTCCAGAAGCCTTTGTCATTGGGAGTGTGGGTGTTTAGAATCACAGCACTTTGGGTGGTGATTTTTTACTTATATTTCCATGCTGTTGACTATAGTAGCTTTTTGTTATGGTGGAGGTAGCCAGACGTCCCTATGTAAATTCTTTTTTTTTTTAATCCTCACTTGAGGACATCTTTTCATTGTCTTTAGAGAGAGAGAAACATCAGTGCAAGAGGTAAGCATTGATTGGCTGTCTCCCATTCATCCCTGGACCAGGGATCACACTCACCCGGATCAGGGATCGAACCTGCAGTGCAGGCATGTGTCCTAACTGGGAATCGAACCTACAACTCTTTGGCTGTGGGATGATGCTCCAGCCAGCAGAGCCATACTAGCTGGGCCCTCGGTAAATTCTTACATGGAATTCACAGGCTTTTTCTAATGGACAAGGAGAGTCCAGCTGTGTTAATTGGGGATTTAATTCTGCTTGATATGTTGGTTTTATACAAGCCCTGACCTACTCCCTGCTGCCACCGTCTATTTATATGACGCCTGTCACCATGGTATCTGAGTGTGTGGGGAAATATATTTAGGCTGACTACAGCTAGAATATGGGAAGGACTCTCTCGGTGCCCTCTTTTCAGCAATTGCTGTTTTTCACTAAGTTAGGGAAAGTTCAGAGGCTCTTCTCTAACCTCTAAGCTCCCCAGATCTCCTGTTTTGAGTAGAGCAAAAGGTTAGGTCTTAAAACTCTCCTCATACATATAGAAAAATGGGTTTTAGGATAAGATTCTAGTAAAATAGCTTTTTTACCTTTGAGAATATAATGAAAGGTATGATTTTTGTGTCCAGAAAAATGTCTATTTGCACATTCATATTATCATTTCAGAGGGAATTTTATGTAATTTTAGGAAGCTCGTGGACTCTCTAAGAGCCCCTTCATGATTCCATGTTAAGAACTAGCTTAATTTTAGGTTCAATGGACTCCCAATTAATTCTTTTTTCACAGAACATCTGTGAAACAATTTAATATTTTGTTAAATAGTTTTTAAAGATTTTATTTATTTATTTTTAGAGAGAGGAGAAGGGAGGGAGAAAGAGAGGGAGAGAAACATCAGTGTGTGTTTGCCCCTCACATGTCCCCATGGGGAACCTGGCCCACAACCCAGGCATGTGCCCTGACTTGGAATTGAACCAAGGACTCTTTGATTCACAGGCCAGCACTTAATACACCGACCCACATCAGCCAGGGCTTGTTAAATATTTTTTCCTGTATTTACTGATCATACTGCATTCCTCCTGGGAACTTCAGCTTGACAATCTCCTCTCTTGGTCACTATGCTTTATTTCCTGTGTCTTTCCAGAGCACATGAGCTTCTGTTTCAGCCTGTCACATTGTTTTGCTATGTTTGCATATGCCTGTACTATGTTATGTTTAAATATATATCCTCTCAGAAAAGTTCTCAGAGGGCAAGGTTTGTGTTTTCATTGTTGTTTCATCCCCAGTACACCACTTGGCTTGTGATAGGGCTCAGAGAACATTTGAAAGAGTAAATAAATAGATATGTAGAATTTCCATTAGTGATGAATCAGCATTCTCCTAAAGCAGCACAATGGTGTGTTTGGGCCTCAAAACAACATCACCAACCATAATAATAGGACCCAGTAGGATGTCTGTTGTCATGTTTCTGTTGAGATAACTTCATCACCTTAAAAAAATTTATTGATATTAGCGAGAAAGAGGAAGGGCGGGGAGAGAGAGAAACATTGATTTATTGATGCATTTCACTGGTTGATTCTCATATGTCCCTGACCAGCCATCAAGCACACAGTCTTGGCGTATTGGGACACTGCTCTAACCAACTGCACTATCTGGACAGGGTGACTTCATCACCTTTAATTTGAGTTATTGATGTGAAAGGGAGTGGTGGGAAATTTCTCTCTCTTTTGTCTCTTTCTTTCTTACCTATAGTTACATGGGTTGCTTTTAACCAAGTAAAAATGGAAACTAATGGTTTCTAAGCCATTAATCAAAGAATGAGTAGAATGTTTAGGGAGAAGCATACAGTTAGTTGTTGGAGAGGGAAAGCCTTGAATAGAGCTTCATGGAGTCAGTTTATTTTACTTCCACTTAAGGCAGAAGGGGCATTGGGGAGGCAGCCTGCATTTAAATAACATAGCTTTCCGTAGTCTAAAAATGTGGGACAATATAAAGGCAGATTTATACTGGCATTTTATATTTGACATTTATTTATGGATTACAGTCCTTTCTACCCTCTTACTCTGCTACATC